GTAATTGTATTGGTGGGAGCAGTTGTTTATTTATTAATGAGGGGCAAAAGAGTAAGAAAATAGTATAAATGGGGGGGCATTATGGCTACTATTTAAGAAGCATTCATGTTCTTATATCTCTTTTATGGGGTATGGAAAAAAATGATAGAAAAGGGTTTTTTGCTCTCTAATTATTTTTTGGAGGGATTTGGATTTGGGCTTGGGGAGAAGTTTCTTGTTGTTCTTCCTCCTCAGGTATTTCCACCAAATCTACTGGGTTAGAAAGATTTAGAGTTTGTAGTCTAGTGGTAATTTCCCTAGTATCTATCATTTTGCTAGTAGTAGTGGCTGTGGGATGGATTTTGTAAGGAGTGTTTTGGGAGAAAGTGTTGTATTCTTTTTCTATCTTTAAATATTGTTGATAAAATTCAGTGTCTTTATCATATTCAACTTTAATATATCAGTCATTATTAGTAACCTTGCTCAATTCCCCAGCATCTGGTCTTTTAGTTGGGTCATCATCTCAACACCTCTTGATTAAATCTTTCATTTCTTGAGGTATAGGAACTTTATCTATATCAGGTCGTAGTCCCCGACATATTTTTGTGGATAATTTAATATCGTTTCAACCATCTCTATATTGCTCATAATACGGATATTCATTAGCCAATAATTCATAAGCAACTATTCCAAAAGAATAAATATCACTAGCCTGAGTATAAGGCTGTCCTTGTAAAACTTCGGGAGCAATATAAGGAAGAACACCGAATGTTTCGCTGCCTTTTTTTTGGTAATCGGCTGGGTAAGATAAACCTAAGTCAGAAATATAACCATTTCTTGATGAACCACCATCTAATATATTCCCACTATGAAAATCTCGATGGATTAGATTTTGCTGGTGAATACCTCTTAAACCGAGAGAAATATTTCTCAATTTTCAAAGTTTGTCTTTTAAACTCAATTTACCAGTTTTATTTCGCAAATGTTGTCTTAAATTACCTTCAATCATATATTCCGTCACCATCACATAATTTTTAGTCTTGGGGTCTTGGGAGATACCATAACATTTAACAGTATAACATTGTTCAATAACATGTCCGCCATCATCATTAACTAAATTATTATTAACAAGTTCAGTTAAAAACTCCAAAATGACATTTTGGGAGTTGGTGAGGGATTTGAGAGCAATATCACTACCATTTCATTTAGCTTTATATATCTTACTAAAACCTCCCTCACCAATAGGTTTCTCACTAATATTAGTAAATTCTTCATAAGGTATTCAGTGTAATCTTCCAGGTCCTTTCTTAGGTTGTTGTTCAATAAACCTCTCAATTAATTCTTGTCCACTTAGATGTCCTAAATCTTGTCTCAATGCTCTTTCAAAGCAAGGTTGACATCAATTTTCACTAGTATTAGGTTGTAGACATTTTGGACAAAAAACATATTTAACTTTCTCTAATTGAGAAATAATTTCAGTCAACTTGCAGTTTGATTTTAAGTAATAAGTTAAATATTCAATTTTTTTTAAACTTCTCGGCAACTTTTCTATGTTTACTTCATTTATATCAGTATTGCTAATATCAAGTCACTTTAATTTCTCCATTCCGCTTAAATAATCAAGAGAACCTGTGAAACGATTGTAAATACCCTGCTGGATTTTTTGTCTAGTTATTTCATCACTTTTATAACTTCTGCAGTTTCCTAAATCAAGCCTTTCTAAATTGGTATAAGGGGTTAAAAAAGATAAGTCTTGGTTGAAATTATTATTGGTTAAATCTAATTCCTTCAAGTTAGTAGGATTAGTAGGAAGAATGATACTAGTTAACAAATTATCTTTGCAATCAAGTTCAGTTAAATTGAAACAATTATTGACATTTAGAGAGGTTAAATTATTCTCAGAACAATTTAACCGTATTAGAGTAGAACAATTATTCGGCAAAATCAAATTGGCAATTTGATTTCTAAAAAAATTAATTTCCTTCAACTTCTCACAATTAGTTAAGTCGAGACTGGATAATTCATTAGCATGACAATCAAACTCCTCTAAATTAATAAAATCATTTAAGTTTAAATTACCTTCCACTTGTCAAGGACAAACATACAATCCAGTTATTTCACTTCTTTTTTTACCAAAATTATCAATAACAATATTCTCTTTATGGTCTTTCTTTTCATTTTTCCTTATACAAGTTCCATTTTTAGGATAACAGAAATCTAATCATCTTTGAGCATCTTTGATTTTAAGAATAATTCAAGCATATTCTGACAAGTTTTTAAAAACCAGTTTAGTTTCGTCCACTAAGGGAGAGATTAATACTCTTACACCATAAATATAAGTAAAATCCTCTAAATCCAATTCTCCTTCTAAACTGGGTTCGTTGAGATAGATTTCTGCTATTTTACTTCTTTTTTCTTTTGGATACTTCCTATCCAATCATTCCTGAGCCTTTACCATAATATTTAATTTTACTGATTTTTATAATATTCGTAGATTAGGTTTTTAACCATGACTTTAAAATAATCA